CCTACCCCAGCGGCCAGAGCAGCCGGCGCAACATGAAGTATCGGCGGCTGCAGAACTACCTGTACAACGTGCTGGAGAGACCCCGCGGCTGGGCGTTCGTCTACCACGCTTTCGTGTGAGTATCCGCGCCCCTCACGCGGCCCCGGTCACCTCGGCGGCGGGGCCCTTCCGCCCGGTCCTCCCCGGGCTGCTGGGCGCTGATGCCCGGGCCCGGCATGCGCTCACACACACACACACACTCGCGCGCGCGCGCACGTGGCGGCTTTTATTTCTTTGCACGTGTTCAGGGTCGTCCTCCTAGAGTCTTCCACACCACCCCCCTCACCCCACCTCTCTGCCTCTCCGGAGCGACCTTTCTCCCCTAGTGCAGTCAGTGAGCCGCCGTGCCGCTCTGGGCACGCCGCAGTACTTGACAGTGTACTCGGCGCGGATAACTGGGAGCGATCAGGTCCCGAGAGACGTCAACTTCAACCGAGGGGGGCGCCCGGGAGCTGAGGCCAGGGGAGGACGCGCGCCCGTGCTTGGGAGAGTGTGTTGGAGAGGTCAGGAGGTGATGGCGAGGAAGACGCGGGAAGGGGTGGGGAGGGGAGAGGAGAAAGGGAGACCTGGGTGCTCAGTCTCCGGAGCGGAGCTGGGGGAGCCCCTACTTGGTGGGGAGAACAGCTCGGTTTCCAGTGCGCCCGGAAACACGCCTCGCCACCACCTCCGCCACCACTAACGGAAACTCTGTCAGTGCCTGGAGTCCTTCCTGCCACAGAGGTGGCCAAGGTTTAGAAGAGGCGAGCAGGGCGGGCGAGGAGATGCTCCCGCGCAGTGGCAGGGGCCGGTGGGGAGCCCCGCGCGCGGAGGGGCCGCGGCAGCTACGCAGACCAGCAGCTAGGGGCAGGGATCAGGCAGGGGGTTAAGTAGGCATTTGTGGCTGTTAGTCAAAGTGTGTATGTGGGTGTGTTAAGTAAGCCCTCACCATCTAGCAGAGCATGCTTAATGAGAAAATGATTGGAAGCAAATGTTGATTTTTCCCTTAGGCATTTCAGACCTTTCAGTGGCTTGAAAGTTTACTACTGTTTTTCCCACAACGTCCATTCATGCAGCCTCCTGCTAGAGTTAGGTTTATGGGGATATTTTAAGGTACTTTTTATGCTGTTACGCCCTCATTTTTTTTTCTTCTCCTTCTTCCTCTTCTTTTTCTCCTCTCTTTTTAGTTCTTTTTTTCCTTGCTTCTGTTGTTAAAATGAAATCGAAAGACGTCAGCCTAGGAGACCAGTAGAGAAAGTTGCAGGCATTCACTGATAGGTTCCTTGTTTCCTGGTAAAATAGGTTTTGAACACACAAATTGAGTTTCTTTTCGAAATGAGGCATATCATCCTAACACAGCTTTCACCTGGGACGGAGGATTGGCATCAACTCCAGAAATATTTTTTTGAAATAATATGGAAGTGGAGGGGCTGGTTTTATGAATAGGTGAACCTGGAATTTAACCGCGTAGTGGTCAGGAAATTGGTGGAGTCTACAATCTGTGGGCCTCTGGTGTTCGGAAAATTTTACAGTCCCAGATTGATGTGAACCTGCAGCATTCGGTGGAATATTCCAGCCAACTTGCCATCTGACAATGTACACAAGGCGAACGTTGTGTAGCATCATTATTACATCAAGAGGTATAATGTATGTGAGATTCATGTTGATTTAAATGCGGTCCCTGCAGTAGAACATAGACATAGAGGAACACTCCAGATACTTTTCATGTTCATCCCCTCTAAGTTGATATATAATTAACCTAATGAATCTGATAGATTATTTTGACCTGTTAAGATCTACTAAAACATGTAGGAATAATGATCTGTGTTCAATTTGGCAACAGAATATATCCTGTATGGAAAATAGTTTTTTTTATTTTACAAGTGTATGCTTAGAATATTCATAGCTTAAAATTTACAATATGATGCTATATAGTGGCCTTTCATTTTTGGTGATTTACATACTATCCATATTCAGAGAGGGTTAGAGACAGCCTTGGTGAGTGCTTGTGCTTTGTGTCTTCTAAGTGTTGTCCTTGATCGTGAACGAGGCTGTCTTTTAATGCAACGCTTACTTTTCAATCTGTTGGTGTTTAACAGGTTTTCCTGGCTGTACAGAATTGTAAGATTTTGACAAATGATTTTTCAAGAGGTTCAAGCTGGGATAATTCTCTACTCACCGGGCTTTATCAGGCCATCAGCAACTGTAGTGGTAGATACAAAATCAATTATGTACTTGTCGGTACATGTACAATTGTGAAGTTTTACATTATGCGTTTCTAGAATCCAAAGCTGTAATGCTTGGGCGATTAGATAGGGGTGCTAGTTCCAAATGAGCCCAAAGAAGGAGTGGATAGTATCCTCTTCTGGAAGGATTCAGCACAACCACAGCTGACCCTGGGGGCCAGGCCACCTTTGGCAGTTGCTGCTTATGATTTTAAGTAAGCTTGAGAATAGCCGGACTTTACACATTAAATTAATAAAGGAAAGTTACTTGGAGCTCTAAGTCTAACCAGACCATTAATAATAAAGGAAATTGTAAGAAAACAGTTTCTAAATTGGTGTGACTAACTAATTCCTGGCCAGCCTGGGAATCCCCAGATCTTACTTTAATAACAGTTTTTCAAGCACGTTAAGGTTCTTGCCAAGAACAAGTGCACTGTGATTAATGAGGTACTTCGGGGATGGATTTACTTGGTGGACCAGCGTTTTCATTGCCAAGAAGCAAGAAAAGGGTGTTTAAAGTTATGTTTCAGGTAAAGAAAAATTTCCATTCAGCATGCAAAAGTCATTATCATCATGGTATTTTCATGGTGTAGAGTGTGATATTCAAGTGTATATAGCTGAGCCTGCTAATGAGATGGCTGGCAAGAACAAGAGGTGACTTGCTTCAGTTTCCTCCAATCTTCATAAATTAGTGGAGATTAAGAGAATCCGTTCCCTTGTTGTTCTTAAGGATTTACCCAACAGCCATGTTTCCTGGTTTCCTATTTCCTGTCATCAGCCGTTCTTCAGTTTCATAGAAGAGCTATTCGCATATGAGGTGACATATTTCTTTGAATGTTGTTTGTCCATTTTCAATTCCTCCTCTTTTTTAGGAAAAGTTTAGAAGTATAATGATGATAGCAGAGAAACATGGAAACACATGATGGGCTCCACGTGTTGCTGAAACACGGCCTCCATACCCCACTTACTGAATTGAGACTTGAGGACAGAGTTTTGGATGAGGTAGAAAAGGCAGTTTTCTTTCTTTGCCAGGTGAAGGAGGTCACAGTGGGCTAACACCTCTAAAACTATGAGCCTGCTGGGGAGAGAAAGTGGGGTGTTTTATAGTAAAAGTTCAAGAGTCCAAGGGGTGGAGCTGGTTTCCACAGAGACTGTGTAAACAGGGTAACACATTTTTGCAAAATTGTTCTTATTTTTGTAGATGAAATAGTCTCCTTCCCTCTGCTGGGTACAAAGTTCACCTCCAGCTTTGGGACTCTCTTAATATTCTTGTAGCTAGAACAAAGGATGCACAGCAAGAAGCTCCGTGGAAAAGAGCTCTAGAGAAAAACATGTGCAGTTTAAAGTCAGGTAGATAAATGCTTTTAGCCTTTTAAGCAGGCTGAGGCCTGGGATCTCCTCTGCGGCTCGAACAACAGGATACAAGGAAACCACAAGGGGTCAAGAGGAGGGCACTGAGGTCAAGAGCAGGCCAGTAGGGGCAAGAGCAGAGCACTGAGCATGATCCCTGCACATAGTACCATGAGGGGGTTGGGGGGACCACCCAAGCCTCCCTCCTGTCCAGCCCAACCCTGGTCAGCAAGAGCATGATAAAAACCTTTTAAGCTATTATACAGGTAAGCATTTTACAAACACCATTATAGATATCAGATGGTCATTGATGATGACAGTAGGGCCCTGCTCGGCTACACGTATATGAATTCGCATTGATGCAGCAAATGTGATTCTCAGCAATAGCGAAGGAAACGGTGTCACTCATCACTGTGTCTGCTCGTCTTTGCCTGGTGTCATGCCCTGGATCAGAATGTATAGATATTTTCCATGAGAAGATGTAATCCTGTCACCCAGGCTAGGAACCTGAAAGTCATCCTTGATGCCTTTGTTTTTCTCACTTGCTCCCACTGGCCATCCAAAGGATCATTAAATTCTGTGTTCACTCTAGAAACATTCTTCAAATCCATTTCCTTCTCTTTTTTTGCTGATGCCACTAGCCCTCTCTGTTTCTCAGTTTATCACCATTGGGTTATTTGTAATGTCTTGCAGCTTCTGTTCTCAGTCTCCCAGCTCTTTGCTCTGACAACATAGTGTTTTTCCTAAGATACAAATCTTGTATCATCCCCTCGCCTATAATCTTTCCATGAGACTTCACCATCTAGTCATCTGTTCATTCATTTCCACACTGGGAAACATATGAGCATCTACTCTGTGCTCATTCCTAGTAAGGCAAAAAGACTCCAGCACGAGCTGACTGTGAGCTTGTGAACAAATGTGACATGATGCTGCCACAGAAGTGAGTGCAAAGTCGCAGTGGAAAAGAAGAGGAAGTAGAGGTGAGGGCAGAAAGGTCAGCACAGACTTCAAAGAGGAAGTGAGATATGAGCTGAATTTTGACAAATGGCTGGTGCATTTTCAGGTGTAAAGGTAAAGGAGGGATCAGTAGTCTTGATGGAGAAGAGAGCTTAGGTAAAGATAGGGAGCTGTGACTCAACATAGTGATTCTGGGTACTGGTAACTACTTTCGGATAAGGACAACTTCAAGAAAAAAGGGTAGAGCAGAAGGCACATGTACCTGATCTTGGATGGCTTCAGAGGCTGGCCGGGGAATCTAGTCTTTATTCCTGTAGGTAGTACTTGCTGTCAAATGGTGAAGATCAGATGAATGATGTAATCAAACACAAATTTTTGGAAAGATGTGTCTTTCATTGGTTTGCTCAATGGATTAAAAGTGCCAGATAGAACTGGCCAATGAGGAGGTAATAGCAGTTGTCCAAGTTTTCCATTCATTCTTGTACTCCTTTCTCCATAAATTCATTCCCCAAATGTTTGTTAACTATCTACCATTCTAGAAAGGTGAGAGATGATTGTCTAAGAAACTTAGGCAGGAACAGTGGGGACAAGGAGGAATTTGAGTAGAGAAAAGTTAAGTAGGTAGAATTAGCAGACTGTTTCCAGCAGTCAGGTGGGCGGTACGAGAAGG